ATGAATAAATGATCATGTATATGTGCGTCATCCTACTTTGGTATTTTGCATCCCCTCCCACAGGTAGTACAATCCTTCACAGACCTAGCCGTGCATATCAATCAGACCAAACAAGATTCTGAAGCGATACTGTCACTCCAGGCCTTGAAAGAGAGGTTTAACGGATACACGGTGTGTATGTATGTATGTATATGTATATTTATTTATGTATGTATATGTGTATTTATTTATGTATGTATGTATGTATGTATGTATGTATGTATGTATGTTTGTATGTATTTGTTTTGTATGTATGTACGTCTGTACGTACGTATGTACGTACGTATGTACGTACGTATGTATGTATGTGTGTGTGTATGTGGGTATGTCATATCATACCACATGTCAACTAGTATACGTGTCGATGCATGCAGAGGTGTGCGCGTCGAGGTACGGATTGAGCCACACACTGTGAGCTGTGGATGTATATTCTCTGTAAAGTGTCTATTCATATGCAAAACGTATAGCTTTACTTTGAACCGGCATGGACAAACCAGACCTTAGTAGTGACGCCTTCTAATATGTATTGTTCAGTTGTACGATCACATAGATATATCTATACGTATACTATACTTCAGGGCAAACATTGTTCCTCTGATTGTGCCGGGGGAATAGATCAAACCACCACTTATACAACGCATGAATAGTCCAGACGTATATTCATTTTCGTGTAGGTAGAGTAAGTTCATTGGGTTTGGTATATCTACCCAGAACTTGTGTTTCTGGAGCTCAAAATCAGTCTCTAATTGGCAGATTGGATTGGTAGTTTACACTCAAAACAAAGACGCAACAGTCTAGTATGCGTAAACCCGGTTTATCTCACAATCTGGTAAGTGCTGTGCCCCTCAGTAGATATAGACACAACCTCATTCAGAGACAGTAAATCGTGTCCATGCGTGGACCAAGTTTATCTCACAACCTGCTTAGTTACCTCACGATATATATATAGACACACCCATTAAAATTGTATGCCCCCCCCCCCTCCCCAAACTCCGGAAAGCCAGTACGATTGGATATTTACATGTATACACATGATTGTTCTGTGGGGACTTCGAAAGAATTTCACTGTGCACGTATGTGCGTCTAATCAATGGCACACCCACTGGCCACACCAGAAGAAAAAAACCAGGTTTGTAAATAGACACCAAGTTGAAGTTTTTCCTTCTTCCGCTGCGCTTGATCAGGGACCGCCTCTGTACATCTACGGACATCTGTTGACGGAAGGCAGTCTGCAAGTGGCTGACCTCAAGGCAACCAAAAAGAACCGGCGACAGTCTATGAGACTATCTGGCACTCCGACTAAGGTACTATACACATATAATTTAGGACAATATAAGCCAAACTTAAATGTTCAGGATAAGGCATGTACTATCTGGCACTACGACTAAGGTACTGTGCACATGCAATCTAGGACAGTATAAACTCACACTTAAATGTTCAGGACAAGACATGTACTATCTGGCACTACCGCTAACGTACTATGCTTATTAAATCTATATCAGCATAAACGTACACTGGATGTACGCTTTGAAATAATAGGACTTACAGTATACCACATAGTGTATATACACATATTGCATAGTGTATGTAGTGTACATAGTGCATACACACATATTGCATAGTGTATGTAGTGTATATAGCGTATATACCTATATTGCCTAGTGAATGTAGTGTATATAGTGTATATACACATATTGCATAGTGTATATAGTGTATATAGTGCATATACACATATTGCATAGTGTATGTAGTGTCTATAGTGCATATAAAAATATTGCATAATGTATGTAGTGTATATAGTGCAGATACACAAATTGCATAGTGTATATAGTGTATATAGTGCATATATACATATTGCATAGTGTATGTAGTGTATATAGCGCATATAAACATATTACATAGTGTATGTAGGGTATATATCGCATATAGTGTGTACAGCCTTACCATACAGAGCATCTGTGAGGTCCCAATATTATTGGCAGTGGAAGTACTGCACCGTAGCTTTGTAGATATCTGCTTTATGATCCATACAATTCGTTCTACTTCCGTTCCTAAGTTTCATATGCACTGACACTTGAGAGTTGGTACTAGTAAGGTTGTAATTATACATTCGTATCTAAGTTTTGATATCCTTGACTTACGTCTGTGGTAAAGTAACATCATCGAGGGTGAACATCCCGCCATTGATTGGAGCCCTATAAGTCTACGATACGTTTTCGGGTCGGGTTGTTTAAGAATGCAGTTTAAAATGGGTGGTATATTTCATCTCTAAATATTGCATACAATACAGACCGGTAGACGATACAGAAATTTGATTCATCACCGTGTGCTATATACATAAACATACCTACCATACACCAGTACATTGTACATACCCAACTACAATTCCAAAAAAGGTCCTCTGCCTAAACCACTTCATCTGATGGCATCCTTATATGGTGCAGGTGTATGCCTTCTGCTTTGAGGAGGCACTGCTGCTCTGTAAGCCTTGCAAGAAAAAGTGCTTCAAGGTGTGTTTTGTACCGAACGTTTTCCAATGCAACTAGGTATGTTTTGTACCGAACAATTTCCAATGCACAATTGCCGTCTATAGGCTTTTAATATACCTGTGTTCACACATACGCGCTGCATAGACACATCACATATACGTGTGTGGTCCTAGACTGGAAGGTAGTATATATCTTTGAGTATGTATGTAGCTGTAGTAGTACAGAACTATTAACCAGACACTCGTGATATACTTGTGGACATACGCACAGTGTAAACTTCTTCCCCTCCCGAGTATATATATGTATGCAGCTATCGATATGGTGTATGTTCAAGTGGTTGAAAATGGTTTTAAGATTGCCCAGGACGATTGCTATGTATACTCTCGTGTTGAAAGATACTACTTACATACTTTTTAATCCGTCTTAATCATAGGTTTGTTAGCGTTCGCTTACTTCAATAAAGTTGCTTGGGTTTTGGATATAGCACAACTATCTATGGCTAGTATATGCATATAGTTCGTGCTATAGCTTTGTATATGTATATATACAGCACTTTCATTGTATTCTATAGTATACACACAAGAGTTCTGGTTACTAACCTTAGCCCGTCTTCTCCCCCAACAGCTGATCCGTGTTGTACGTGTTCTCAGACTGCACTTGAATGTATAGCAATGTATATATAACACAACTACCTATGTATATGTATATATACTGTACTGTACTTTCATTGTATTATATAGTATACACATAAGAGTTCTGGTTACTAACCTTGGCCCGTCTTCTCCCCCAACAGTTGATCCGTGTTGTGCGTTTCGAGAGTATGAAGGTGCAGATGCTCAGCCACGACCCCACGTCGTGGTGTGTCACCATCTCACCCCCAGGACTACAAATACACGCATGCGCCACACCCAGCACACACACACAATCAATCACACACACAGACCCATCCGTGCACAGGCACACCCACACCCACACACATACGCATGGGAATATGAGCGCCCACACGTACGAACTCGCACGTGTCAATGCAAAGGGTGAGGTGTATGTGTCGTCCCATCGTGAGACTATGCGGTCGACGGGCAGCGGTGCAGAGGATGCTACCTTC